ATTATCTATTTACTGTAATTATTATAATAATAGCTAATTGTGAAACTTTTGTTAATTGTTACTAGATAATCAAAAGTTGTGAATAACTTGTAGTGAAAGGGCTTCATTTATTTATTTTAACAATTTTGAAATTTAGAAAACATGATTTGTTAATTACTAGAATATTATAGTAAATAGCTAATATAATGTAGTGAATAACTAAAAAAAAATTTATAAATAATCTGAGTGAGGAGCTTTATTAATTACTAAAAATTTTATGATAAATAGTTAATAAGGTGCAGTGAATGGTTAAACAAAAATTATTAATAATTTATAGTCAAAAGTTAACGGTTAACTTACATACCATCTTATACATTTAATATAAAAGTTTGTTTGACTTTTATTTTGAATCTAAATATAAGACCCAAATTCTCTTTATCTCTCATATTTATCTATTTTTTTCTGAGTCGTCTTTGTAATAATGATAGTTCTAACTAATATACTTGGTTAGCAAGGATATTTTAATAAAGACAATATTTATTTATTACAAATAACTAACTTAACAAATTTTTTTAATTTAATCAAATTAGTCAACTAGCTCTTATATTAAGGATTGGAAGTAGTATTGTTTTACATTATTATATTAAGGATGTTAAGTGGCTCAATGATCACTTATATTTTTAGTGAGTGCTTGTAGGATCAAATTCCACATTTATACATTCGCCTTTACACGATAAATTCCTAGCTGCCTTTAAAATAAAGGGCATTTATGTTTTTTTGGCTGAATTTTAAAATCCACATTTAAATGGGATCATGCAATTTTAGTGCACTATTCCGAGATTTTATAATTTCTAAGTTCTTTTTCACTCATTTTCCCAATAATTAAAGTCGATAATTCTCTTTGCTCATTTCGCTTCTTCTGATTCTCTAGGATGAACTCGGCATGGTAGAAGATGGGTCATGAGGGGTTGGGCCGAGGAAGTTTTCTTTCTCCGTCGTCGCCGCAAAAGCAGACTGTGAATTGGTCGAGCCCACTGGCAGATGTGACCCTTTACCAAAGATATGCTTCAGCTGTTGTTTTTCTTTCCTTTGTTTTTTTTTTCTTTTGTTAGGAAGATATGAACTAAAGGTTTCCATCAATGCAGAAAGCATTCTTGATATGTTACTGTCCATATATATCTGTCTGTTTTTTTTTTTGGGGGGAGGGGGAGGTTTGGGTTGAGTCAAGATCCTTTCTAGCAATTATTAAAGTTGAAAAAAATAGACTTGCCTAAGGCTGAATATTACAAAATAGTTGACTTTTAGGGGCAATAAAGACTGTTGTTGAAAGTTTTTAGGGGGTAGCGACTGTTATTGGAACTTATCAGCTGCAACAAAAGAGTCTCCGTTAAAAGTATGGTTTTAGCGAAAAGTCGCTGCTAAAAGTGTCGTCAGAGAAAAGACCACCGTCGATCGCTACCACAGCATCGTAAGCTTGTCATTAACTGCTGCCACATCATCACTTGCCAGGTGTTGCCAAGTCACTCGCACACCTCACCATGCCACGTGTCTACACCTTGACACGCCACGTCATGAACTGGATATTATTACTATAAATATGGCCTTTCTATGGTTCGAACTCCTAACCTCTTCCTTCTACATCCCTTCTTCTTGCTATTGAGTTAGAATGAATTTAGTGATAATTTTTGTAAAACCAAATATATATAATAGTAATAAAATATTGAAATAGATTTTCAGGGACGACAAAAAATGTCGTCGCTAAAACTTTCCTTCGACGGCTATTGTATTAAATATTGTTAAATAATAATACTATTATTAAATATTTATATTTAATTTTCTTATTTGATTAAAATATCTATTCTCTAAAAAAAATAATTCATACAATATTATTTGTTATATTTTTTTATTTCTAATTATTTAAGCTATTATACTATTTATTTTAATATTTATATTTATAATTATGAAATATGAAAATAGTATATAAAAAATAATGAAATTTAATTATGAAAATTTAACTCTCACGTGCACACAATTATAATATCTCACTTTCATACACACTCGTTCCTTCCTCCTTCCCTTTCTTTTACCCTCACATACACTATATTACTTCTTTAACCCTCTCTTTCTCTCTCTCTAACACAATATGTAAAAATACTTTATTTTGTCATAACAAATCATATTAATAAATAAAATTATTATCTAAATATGATTTTTTTTAATAAAAACTTAAAATAATAATAAAAAGTTAAAATAGACTTTTTGCGCTGATATTTAGTGTCGCCGTTGAAAGTCATGTTGAATTGCCGTTAAAAGAAGTGGTGACATTCATTGAAAGTCTGACTTTTAAAAATTAACTTTCAGTAGTAACTTTAAAAAGTACTTTTAGCAAAAGTAAGATTTTTAGCAGCGATCCTTAATGTCGCCGCTGAGAGTTTATTTATTTATTTTTTTGGTGGATCGAGTTACTCCAAAAGAGAGGATAGGGTCGGTTGACTGCAAGAGGAGCCGGCATCTGGTTTTTTTTTTTTTTGTTCTTTAATAGGAAACCCTGTTGTTGCCTTCTTCTGTTGATAAAGGCTGTACTTATAGGATTGCTTTTGTGTTTCCCCCCTCATTTCTGAAATACCTGTTGGGTCAAGAAGCCACTGTTTAGCGATATGCATCTTTCATTCTCTTCCGACGACAGTTGAAAAGGTGGGAAACTGTGACTTGTAAAAGCCGTAGCTTCTCATTACCTGAATGTTTTCATCCCCCCCGGGGGGGGGATGAGTCTGAATGTTTCCTTTTATCCGTTGACTTGTACTCCGTCTCTCACCATATAGCTTCTCGCCATCTCAATATTTCGTTTGTCCAAGGGACAGACACGTCTGTCAAATTTTAGTTCCATATGGTCGAATTATGGTCATTCTTCGTGCGATCAGCATCTTCACATTCCATCAAAATTGGGTTATTTGGTTCTGTACTTGTGCCATACTTACACACACACTTTTAAGTGGTTTCCAACTGATATGAGAGGAATGAATGGACCGGCTAGAATCAAGTAACGAACAGACGGTTGATCTAGATAGGACCTTAAGAGAACCTGTCTCTTACAACCCTAACCATGAAGACACCACAAGGTTGATCACTCCCTTGATACTGTCGAGTATTCTCACGAGAATACGAGAATGCAAGCAAGGCTCACACAAAGAGAAATAAAATTCTCATTTTATTAATTATTCAAAATCATCTCCTCTGAAAAGAGTATATACTAAATTATTTATAGACTAAGACTCTTGAAAACCCTAAAATGAAAACCCTAATTGATAACCTAAGCCCTAAAAGCCCAATATAAGTTTTTAGAGCCTAAAACGCTAAGTAAATAAAATGCATCAAAAATAGATGCGAAAATACAACAAAATTAGGAAAATCAAAAGACTTTCTAGAATACTCTAACTTGCTAATCAAGATAGAATAATCTAGATCACACACTACCTAGCAGGATCCCTTCATTAATGAGAAGGATATTATTTGACTCTCTACTCATTAATGCAATACAAAATAAGTAAATCTTTGCCTTCAAGAAGCAATCAATACAAAATAGGAAACTGTAAAATAGGAAACTAATTAAAACAAATAAAATCATATAAGATCACTCTTGATGCTTCTTGAATCTTCTTGGACTTTCCAAATAGGTCTTCATAACTGCTATTCACGTCCATAAGCATGTATGGGCCTTTTAGACACCCATTTGGGCTTGCATATGGTTGAATCACGTTCTGGAACTCCTATGATCCATCACACAATGCATTTGGACCTCAATTTAAAAGATTATAACTCTAATGGACTCCTCCAGGCACATATAATTGTGTTGGGCCTTTAATTACATAGGAATTGGCTTTAAATCTCCTTTTGGGCTCTTAGAACGCATTTTTGTTTTTTCTTAAGGTCCAAGTGTTTACATTCTGATGACTCACATGCCATGGTGGCTTTCGGGGTGGCCTTCTATATGTCACGTCAAGCTCCGCATGTGTCCATGTCATTATCCAAGCAATGATCCATATCATCCTCCATGTAAGCATTATGAAACTATAAATCCTTTGAACACGTTGGAGGGCTGGTTGGGCCTCTAACTGGATAAGTATTTCTTGGGTTTCAAGACCTCCATATTGGACATTTCTTGGCATGCTATCACCAACTACTCATTTCTTTAGTCAATCTTCATGCTTCTCTCAAGACACCGAGGATTCCAAGAGGGATGTCTCAATGTGTTGAAGACGGTATAGTTAATGCTTTTGTCATTTTTTTTGTTCATGCTTCATCTTGGGAATAAAGGCTAAGTAATAGTTGAGATATCAAAACCAAACACTTTGATAATTAATTTGGATACATTATGAAAATTAGTTAAATTAATTATTTATAAATAAACTATATTGGTTTTCTTCAAATAACCCATTTAATAATTTGCATTCAGAACTCATTCATAAAAATTCCTTTTACATGTGTCATGAACATGATTTGTTTTCTGTTGGGGTGGATCAGGCCCAAGCCCATAAGGTTTGGGGTCTAAGATATAATAAACTAAAGACTAAATATTACTACTTGTAAAAAACCCTTTTATCTTTTAGAGGAAACGGTTTTGCGTTCAAAAACTTAATAAAGCATGATGTATATGTGAGTGTGAAACACTCTTCAGAGACTTATAAGTTCTTCCCTCTGCAACTCTCCTCTCTCCCTATTCTCTCATGCTTTCTTCAAAGATATATTTGTTGTATAAGAAAAATCCGACTTTGCCAACGTGATTGGATTGTTCCATGTGGATACCGGAAATACTGATCTACATTCCAGATATACCAAATTCTCACATTTAGGAAAAATTATAAACTTAAGAGATAAAATGAATTTAAATCCTACATTTTAAATTAAAAAAATTAAAACCAAAGAAAATCGATCTCCCAATTAGCTCATACATTTAAAATTGGGAGTATTGACTTCGACTTCAGGCATGGAAATCCAATTTCTTTTAGACGAAAGTTTCTTTATAACTTGTGAGGAAATAACAGCAAATAACGCAAAAAAAGGAGGGGGTGGGGGGACTCTGCCACCATATAATAGATGTGTGATCTGGTAGAAATGAATAAGTGAGTTAGAGTTGGGCAAGCTGGTTGAGGTTGAGAGGATAGACAAAGGATGAGTGGCCATTGAAAGCCATGGTTGCCATCAGAATGTTGACTGCTTCTGTTGGATGGAACGCATCCCAAAACACGTACTGCCTTCTGTTGGGACATGGCGTTTGGAATGGAAGGCACGTGATTTGGCCTCTGTTCCTCCCTATCCCACAGCACCCTCTGTTCACTACACTAAACCCTGCTCGTCCATCACAAAACCATCATTTGAGACTAACCATGTTAGAATTAGAATACTGAAATAGTTTTTTCTTTGTTTTTTTAAATTAGACTAACCATAAGATCTTGCATTGGCAAGAATTTCCTGGAACATGGTGGCCACATCCACAAATATGAAGGTGGCACCTGGAAGATTGGCATTCAAATTCCTCAAAGTGGCTTTCACATTTTCATTAAACGGGTTGACCAGCAAGTTCACTTCTTCTGAGCAGCTTCCGCTCATACTCTGAGCCAAAATGCTGGGAATACATCCCATTAAGCCCAGCCCTGCAACCGCAAATTTCCTCGCTCCGAGATTGTAAAGCCTCTGTCATAAATTTCTGGTTAATTTTTCAGGGATCTTCCTGGAAAATATTGAAAGGGTCGATACAATATAATCTTACTGTGAGCTGCTGAGTATAGGTGTGAGCCAAGATATCAGCATACTGCTGAGCGTTATACTGATTGCGAGTGGGGTAATTAGGCATAAGGTAGTTGTTTAGGTAGTCATTGCTTCCCATTCCTACAAAGAATATGCATTTCCCAATGCTTGTTGCTGCTTCATCTGCCCCAAGATTTGCAGTTATTTGATTCAATGTGTTCTCGAAGTTCCTTATCTGCTCATTGAATGGTATGCGCCCCACCTGCTCAAGACGCATGAAATTCCCTTAATTGAACAGCAACAATTAAAACCAATAAAGTTTGGGATCCATAATTAAATGGAAAATACTTGGGTCAAGGATTCTATGTTAGTTGCATACAAAGTTTCTTCCGGTGATGTCAAGGATTCCAGCAGCTGCTGAAGCATAGTTAACTCCATGAAGCACTTTATTTCCTGATGCTTGAGAGTAGGGAGGAATTAACGGAAGTCCAAGCAGTTCAGCTGCATCATTATTTATGCACACATCAAATTTACATGTAAATTTAATTATTATATGCATGTAATTATGGGAAAAAATAATACGCACAAAGGATAAATCAATACAGCTTGGTTTATTTCAGAATGACAGAAGCCAAAATGCCGAATAAGAGCCCATTGCCCATATATTGTTTACTGTATCATTTACTCTGAGATGGTGCTACGACACATGAGACGACAGATCTATCATATCTGGTTTTAATATGTGAACCAATCACATTAATACTCTATATCGGTCAAGAAAGAAGGGATAAAACTAGTTGTGAGAACTATGAGAGAGGCTCACACTGGTAGATGGGCCCCACCTCTGTATCTTTCTCCTTACTTGACCATTTATGTAAATGGGGTAAGGTTATCTAAGTGAGTATGACATATAAGGCGCCTATGTCTCTTGAAAAACCGAATGATCTTAGTGCAGATGAAAAAGATATTTCTCCGCAAAACAAAATAAGGATATAATAGGAAAAGGACAAGATGAGAAAATTTTGATGGAGCCGTAGCTAAAGGGCTCTCATCTATTGGGCCTGGCCTAGATCATGTGGAGTGTGTGCAGTCGGATACAGAGAGAGAAGAAGGAAGGGTTTAGCGGGGGGTAAGCAGAAACTTGAGTGTGTGCTTGAGTGTTCCTTTATACAATTATACTTCTATTTTTCCGGAAACCTGTAGTCCTTCTAGCTTTGACTTATAACTTGGCTAGCTTTTTTTCATCTTTTAAATATATATTAGTGGGTCCTATTAAATTTCACTCTACTTCCTCTACGATATCTGTTAATAACAATAGTTTCAACCGTAAAAATGGAGTCTTGCTAGTAAGCAATCGTACTACTTGCGAGAATTTAATATATCACCTGCAAATTTTTCCTTATTATATATATATATATATATATATATGCACACACACACTCACATGTATATATAGAGAGAGAGAGAGTGAAGCTATACTTCAAATCTGCCTCTCAAAAAGCAAACCCTTATGGTTAAAGTTCCTTTTCTATTACCAAACTAACACTGAAATAAGTCATACAAGTGTCTAATCCCAAGTGCACATATATATTCTATTCGCATCATACTTAAAACCATAAAATGTTAGCACAGCTTCAACGGAACCAGTTTCAATAGTTTCAATATTTATCACTTTGATGAGCACCGTAAGCTTATCAAATCTGAATCGTCTATATCTTATTTAGATGATCCAGATTTGATTTTTTTTAATTTCTATTTATTCAAAATAATTATTTTAATATGTATATAATTTAACATAGTGAAAATCTTTTATAGGGAATAAGAGAAAAGCGAGGCATCTGATCTGAATATTCAGATTCTGATACAAAATAGAAAAAGCCAAAGAAGAACAAGAAAATGGAGGAGGCAGGACAAGAGACGAAATAAATTAATCAATCACGCACCTATTGCATCAACCATGGTATAGCCATTGGAGAAGCGACCAGTAGGGCCTGCACTGAAGTCGATGCCGTAAGGAAAATAGTTGGCCTTGGCAAATGAAGGAAGGTTGTTGTTGTTGCCATTATCGATGAGAGAGTCACCAAATATGAACATGGCAGGCACCATTTCTCTTCTGTTGTTAAACCCATTGTTCTGCCCTCTTACTGATTGCACCAGCGCCATGCAAAGCACAGCAAGCATTGATAATGGAGGCTGCAACGTTAAACACCTAGCCATTTCAAGAGAACAGGAAAAAAAAGTCAGGTTTTGCAGGGAAGAAGTTGGGGGGTTTCGGAGATCGATGAGGGTAAGAGGGAGAAGAAAGAAGAAAAGGTTTTAAGAGGCCATCAAAAGAGTAAGAAGAGTTGGTAGTTGATAGAAATGAATGCATTCATCGGTTTGCTACGTTGCTGTAGTAATGATCCTTACTGAAACACTCAAAATTCGTGCATGCCATTTTTAATATTGACCTCTTTTCTCTCTCCACCTTATCAGGGCGTTCCGTTCTTCTTTTTTTTGTTTTTTGGGTCAAAGAGTGTTCCGTTCTTGGAGCTAAGTTTACTGTGAAAAACTAGATTCAAATTTAAAGTTCAAAATTAATTACTCATATTTATAAGTCATTTTCAACGTATTTTATACAAATTAAAAAAAATTTTAAATTTTATTAACTCTTATTTAAAATTTAACAACTTTCTAATTTTGTTCTTATTTAATATAATACTCATTAGAACAAAATCAACACCATATTAAATGAAGGATAAAATTTTACATTTATATGAAAATTTTCTTTCTTTGCCTTATAAATAGGATCAAAAAATTGATTCTCTTTCTGTCCTATAAATATGAGCAGGGGAATAGTTCATTATAGGTTTGGCCATGGATAAGAGGATCCTATTCACAAAGTCCGACTTTAAAAAAATGGTTTAAATGTTGATTTACATGCAGTCAACACCTATATTTTGTGATCCGAACATATACATTTTCAAATCAGTTTGAGGCGCCAAAGTGAGCCTGAAATAGTGAAGGTTCTGAAATGGGCACAGATAGGATGTTTACGACGAAAGAACATGGAACGCGCAAGAATGAGCTCTGGAATGGTTTTGGAAAAATCAGCGTCGAAAATAGATTTGGCCATGAGCACTGGAATTAGTACTGCACCACCTGGATCCTTTCACTTAATCCTCAAGTTGAAAAATAAAAAATTAAAAAATTGACTGTTTATTTATTATGAAGTTTGACTAGACCATTAATACACTGCAACGGTTAACCAACATGAACAACACAGTCAACGCTTTACAACTAGCGGTGAAGAAGTGATGGGCACGGGGGCCGGACGCGTGAAGGAACGAATTTATTACCCCTCGAAGCCCCGCACATTAATCATTCATCATTACTGTTGAGCTAATGTATGTTAAACTATAAATTATGTTCTGGTCAACCAATGAAAACCTTAAACTACATTAATTCTTATTTAAAATTCAACAACTTTCTAATTTTATAGGATACGAGAAAAATATTTTATATTAATGTATGATTTTAATCATCATTTATTATTATATTGACTTTGTAAATACCATATGAGGTCTTCAATATAAGAGCTAATTGAAGATTAAATTTGATTCTAAATACAAGACCTCAATCCAGTTTGTCTGATATTTTTCTCAAAATATCCCTATTAATTATAATAGATTCCCATCAAGGTGTAATTTCAAATTGCACATGATTACATAAAATAGTTCACGGAAGTTAGCATATATTTATTACAAATAATCAGACATAATACATACTAAAGTTGTATGCTGAATTTCCATAATTTCAGTGCTGAAGCGTGTAAATGGATATTGAAATTCGCCCAAAATAACATAAAGAGAACATTAGAAAGGACATAGAAAGAATAATATTTATTGGAGAAAATGATAAAAATTGTAATTAGTTAACACTAACTCCGGTTTTAATATAAGAACTACCTATACATTTAATTTGGTTTTAAACATAAAACCTTAATCCATCTTGTCTTTCATATTCACTACGAGAAATATACTTTTTACCTCTTCTATTTATGTCTGTTTATAAAATTGAGGAGGAAAAAAGTGAGTATTCTTGTCTGTCTCAACGAACTGAACAACAAAAAACATCGATGTTCTCATTTGTTATTAATAAATAGACGGGAAGGGGCCTGATTTTTTTTTAAAAATTTGCCTAAGCTAAAGTCTAGCAGCCCGCGAACAACTCCCTCATTTTCCATCTTGATTTTTGCATCGTCTCTTCCTCCCATTGGCTCATGCTGGTCTACGCGAGTACCTAAAATGTAAAACTTCACGATATAAATTGAAAAAGAACATGGATTGTGCTGGTAACTATGATGGTGATGAGATAAATAAAGGGCAACCTTTGAAGGTGTTGTGGTATTTTCTGATAATACCACGATTTAAGCACTTATTTGCTAATGCAACAAAAGCAAATAAGTTAAGATGGCATTTTGATGAGAGAATATTAGATAGAAAATATCTTCAGCACCCTACTGATTCTCCTCAATGGCAGAAAATAGGTAAAATGTTTTCGGAATTTAGGCTTGAACCAAGAAACCTTCGCTTGGCCTTTGAACAGATAGAATCAACCCTTACAGTACTCTTACTAGCACACATAGTGCATGGCCAGTACTCTTGGTGATTTACACAACCTACCTCCTTAATTGGTTATGTATGAAGTGCAAGTAGATGATACTTTCTATGATGATTTTAGGACCAAAACAACCGGGGAACAATATCGATATCTACTTAGCACCCTTAATTGAAGAATTGAAGATGTTGTGGGAAGAAGGCGTGGATCCGTTTGATACATATAAGCAGGAGTCCTTTGAGCTACATGCAATGATCTTCACAACGATATATAACTTTCCTGTATATGAAAATCTATCAGGATATAGTGTGAAGGGGCATAAAGCATGTCCTATATGTGAAGCAGACACATACTTCCACCAACTTAAGCATGGAAGAAAGACAGTTTACCTCGGTCACAGGAGGTTTCTTGATTGGTTCCACCTATGATCGAAGACTAAAAAAGGTTTTTAATGGCTCGTTAGAGCATGGCATGGCTCCAAATGTATTAACTGGAGAGGAAGTTTGTCAGTGAGTAGAAAGAATCAGTGTCATCTTCGGTAAGAATTAAAAAGGTTGTAAGTGAGAAGAACATACGGAAAAAGAGGTCTATTTTTCTTGATCTTCTATATTAGCACATGTGGAGAAAAATGTGTATGATAGTTTCATCAGTACTCTTTTGCACATACCTGGGAAAACTAAAGATGGAATTAATACAAGACTTGATCTAGCTAAAATGGGAATACGAGAATGTTTACATCCACAATTAAGAGAGGGTGGTAAGCAGACTTATATGGAACCAGCAGCCCACATATTGTCTAAAGTCAATAAAAGAAGTTTGTGTCAGTGTTTGCATGGCATCGAGGTGCCCCAGGAGTATTCTTCTAATGTGAGAAGGCGTGTATCAATGGATGATTTGGAGTTAGTGAGAATAAAGTCTCGTGATTACCATGTACTAATACAACAACTATTACCAGTGGCTATTCGAGGCATAATGAAAGATGATGTGAGGAGCACTATAACTAGATTATGTATCTTCTTCAATGCTATTTGTAACAAAGTTATTGACATAGCAAAGTTGGATGAATTGGAAAATGAGGGTTATGTTATTTTGTCTTAGCTAGAAATGCACTTTCCTCCAGTATTTTTTGATACCATGGCGCATTTGACCATTCATTTAGTGAGGAAGATAAGACTCTGCGGCCTTGTTTTTCCAAGATAGATGTATCCATTTGAGAGATACATAAAAGTCTTAAAAGGTTACTCTAAGAATTCTTATCGACCTGAAGCATCAATTATTGAAAGATATGTAGTGGAAGAGGCTATGGAATTTTGCAAAGCATATCTATCAATAGCTAAGGCACCATCTCGGCATGAAAAGGGGATAAGTAAAGGAACAAGAGGGCTCAAAGTGAAGAGTATGAGTCATGAAGAAGTTCTACAAGCACATTTATACATATTGAATAATATGGAAGAAGTACAGTCGCATTTAGATGATCACAAAAGAAGTTTAAAAGACAAGTATCCAAAGAAAAATGATATGTGGAGAGCTAATAAGCATAATAAAACATTTATAGCATGGTTCAATGAAAAGGTTTTAAGAGAACCCAATGTGTCTGATACAATAAAATGGTTAGCTTGGGGTCCTCATTTTGAAGTCATCACTTGGAGTGGGTGCGACATAAACGGATATTCCTTCTACACAAAAGCTCAAGATAACAAAGTACTATGCAAAATAGTAGGGTAATAGTAGTTGCTAAAGCGATGCATTTTTCTAGTTCAAAAGATAAAAACCCCAAAGTGGCATTCATGACTTGTTATGGAGTTATTGAAAAGATATGGGAGGTAAACTATACCAATTTCAAGATTCGTGTCTTCAAATGTAAATGGTCAACAATAATGGTGTTGAAATAGATCAACAATTTAGATTTACATTAGTTGATCTTGATAGGGTTAGGTATAAAGATCAACCCTTCATTTTAGCAAGCCAGACGAACAAGTGTTTTATGTTATTGATCCAGCAAATAAAAAATTATCAATTGTTCTTCAAAGTAAAAAACAGAAGGACGATGATCCAACTATGAATCTTGATGAGACGTCATCTTTTGCTTCAAATCCACCTAGACCAAGTGAAGTAGAATTGGTAGCTAATGATGAATATGCTGTGAGAGATGATCATTGTGAAGGGATATGGAACAACGTATGAAGTTAGACTAAGTAATGTAATTTTGCAATATACTGTGTGTTATTTTGTTTCATTCATTTAACTACAATGTACTTTTTATTATTTATGTTTTACGCATTTCATTATAATTTACTTATCCATCTAATTTTGGTTTCTCAATAGGCACATGGAGGAGGATTCTAATAGGAATATGGAGGAGGATTCTAATAGAAATATGGAGGAGGATTCTAACAATAATCATGTTAATGGGCCACCAAGAATGGGTAGAGGTAGCACAAGACTAACAGAGTTAGTAGTACGTCAAGGTCGTATTCAAAAAAAACATGTGGATTTTGATGTCAATATGAATCCAGTTGGTGCAGAGAAGGACAGATTCATTAGCTATATAGGCTCCATTGCCCAAAGCAAAGTTAACATTTTGTGGCCTAGTTGGAAGTCAATATCAAGGGAAACAA